TTCATAGGTCTAAGTGCTGCTTTCTCATTGGTTTTGGGTCAAGCAGAATGAAAAAGAAACAAGGGCTGAAAAATAAAAGGTATAAATGAAACCATGAATGCATGGGAAACAAATTAACTGGATATGTTTTACGTTCTGAAATATTTCCATAATGCTTCTATGTAGTATGTGTTTATTTTTCTTTGAATAATAATGTTAAAATGTGTCTAATTCAATTACTCTCTGCATTCACTGAATGAGTTTTCCTCGGTGAAGAGTTCTCCTACGCTACCCCAAGCTACGAATTCCATATGATATTTGAACAGGTCCTTTTAATTGCTGATATTAAGTGTCGATCATTCTGCTGTAAGTTGGCAGCATGGCCGGAGAAACAAATTCCTCTCTCAGATACATCAGACAGTCATTCAATTAACGACCAAAGCTTTATTGACACAGTAGGAATTCATTATGTGAAATATTAAAAAAAGCCCTCCACTGACTAGTTAAAAGTCTCTTTCTTTCTCTCTCTCTCTCTCTCTTTTTTTTTTTCTTTTTTTTCTTTTTAAGATAGTGGATTATCTACCGCTATCTAAAATTTTCAGTGCAGGATTTGAAATTGTAGCTATGGTGGAAACATTAGAGGCGTTACCTTCTCAGAGGCATAAGCAACATTTCTGTTGAAAAATAAGTTGGACTTTGAAAAGATGAATATAATGTATGCATCCTATTTCCATAGACATTGTGCATTTTCTTGATTAAAAGCCTTAGATTTTATGAGTTATGGCTTTAGACTGGCTGCATAAAGAGCTTCATGGCTTATTCCGTTAGAGTCTAATTTGAAAGAAAGTTCTTCCTCAAGGGTTTAAGAAGTAATTCATAAAATGGTAAGAATAATAAATATTGTGCCTTAACTCATACGCTAGGATGGATAGACAGATTTTGTACACCTGGGTGTAATTTTAGTTAATTCACACAAGAGACAGGCTAAAAGTTTATTGTTTGGAAGGAGAAAAATGGCTTAAATCTTGTATTTGCAAAAATGATTATATTAACTTAAATGAAAATGCTACTCTATTAATGGCTTCAATAAGCTTTGTATTTGTAAAAGTATTTTAATAAAAGTTACCTGAAGTTTACTGCAACTTAAAATATGTAAGTGAGGGAAAAGTACTTCCTTTGATTTATATGTCTTTTGGAGGTGTAATTATTGGCTTTTTACTCACCTATGTAAAACAATGTACTTTTGTAAATGGATTTCTGGCCACTTTACTCCTTTTTTTTTCCACATAAAAAGTAAGCACTGTCAATCAAAGAATTTTAAGGTTTATTTCCTCTTTAGAAATGATTGATAGCCTTTTAGATTTACAAGTTGACAAGTTAAAGGGTTCTATTGGTATAATTATGTACTAAATTCACAGTCTTTCAATTTAAATGTCCTTTTAAAACCGCAAGATTATCATACCTGTATTTTGAAAAGTGGGCCAGTCAGTTTGGGTTGGTATACAAATTGCTTCCATTAGCCTTGGGACCTATTTGAATTTAATACAGTTTTTTAAAGTTAGTAGTACTTTCAATAGTACTTTTAAAATTTAGGATAATGGGAATGCATTTTAAGTATAGTATGTGTTAGCTTGTTTTTAATGTATGGATGTCAAGAACACAAATAGAGAGTTTGCATTTCTTATTGATTCTTTTCTCCCAATTATGCAAAAAGAACATTTTTTTTAAGTTAGAGCACTAGCAAATGTGTTATCGGGTGAAGAGACCAGCCTCACGCAGCCTGGAGGCAGAGGCAAACCCCTCCATGAGGCCAGAACTTCGATCTCCCATTTTACCCGCCCTGAGCGGTGCTCCGCACACGGGCTTTTCCTCAGCGTGACGAGATCGGAATATGAACCGGTTTTTGTGGAGTTTGGCCAGCAACGGACACAGGAACTGGCTTGGCCTTGACTCTGGGGTTGAGGTTAAATATTTAAGTGGGACTTTTTCTTTGAGATAGGACTAATTATATTTGACTTAGATTATAAATGTGATGAGGAATGGAGGGCCGACATGGTCCAGTCTGTGGTTAGATGTTCAGGCAGCTGAAGATTTCTTTGTTCATTTTATCTAAGATTGCAAGCTTGTATGTTTATAGACCAATGAGTGATATTTGGAAATGACTGTTCAGGACCGAGTCCTGTAAACTGCTATGCACAGCCTTTTCCCTCCACTGAAGTAAAGCTGAAGCTATCTGAAGCAGAAAGTTTTCAGTATCTCTCAGAGGATGCCTGATGCCTTATGACATTGGACCATAAAATTAACATTTTTTTTGGTCATTTAGTTTAGAAAATACTCGCAGGAAATACTCTGTGGATTTCAAATGTGTTGGATGTGTGGGAAGATATGAGAAAATGACTGCTATCTCTTGGGGGATCTCAGAACTGGCCTTCATTTATAATATTGCAGAATGTAGTAACTACTTTCTCAAGGGATGTGAGGGGAAAATGGCCATAAACTAGACTGAATTAGAGAAGAAACACATTTGACCAAACCATGCTAAAATCTTCTAACATATTTGCAAAAGAAATGTAAATTAGAACTCTAATGTTTTTTATTTTCTCAGAGTACAGCTGTTTCTGATAATAAATATAAAGAGCATTAATTTAATGTATTAAAAATTTGAAAAAAGTCTAAACTAGATGGATCCACAGTAGAAGGACATATAAGGAGACTCAAAGGTAATGAAACTGGAGGTTTACAAACAAAGATACTGTGCAATTTTCTGTAAAACTACAGAACAGAGTGGACAGTGTGCAGCCAGAGTGTGCAAGGAAAAATTTTACAAAGGGCCAGCCATCTGAAAAAGAAGAAAGCCTCCAGCAGGGGAAGAGCAGTATTCTCATCCCTTCCATATGATGATCTGAATATAAATAAAATGTTAAATTCAGATATTTCTGATAACAGGAAATAAATGAAATAGTTGAAAAGGCTGGAGGGACCCCAGGATCTTTTGGGAAATCAAAACTTCAGGGAACAGTACCTCCTGGAAGATTTCTTGCCTGATGTTATCGTAATGCTCTAACAGTCATTTCAGGATATGCTCAGAAGATTCCCTTTTGAAATTAGAGAAAGGCTGAGATTGTGTTTGGCCTGTGTGCAGCTCCAGCTAGTTGGCGTGAGCTGCAGATTTCGTACTTCGCTGCTGCTGGGTTGAGCTGTAGTTCCGTATGCCACCTTCCTTCTGCCTTGATTTTCACTAGCATTGCTGCACCTGTTTATGGGGTCAGGATGTACTGAAGGTCCATTAGAGTATAAAAATCTGACCCTTTGGTTGCCAGAAGCACTATCTGTTGTAGAAATGCAGGTTGAAAATAATAATTTAAATGCAATGATTTCTCTAAAAATGGTGCTGTTTTGTGATAGATTGTTTATGGAACATCAATTAGTTGAAAACCAACCCGGGACGGGATATTACTTTCATGATAAAAATATGTGGGTTCTGGCTGGCAACCTTTAATGTTAGAAGAGTATGAAAAATATTTTCTTGACTTTAAAGTTTTAAGTATGGCAAGTGCTTGATCAGACTGATAGAGCTGTGTAGCTTGCCGTGGGATGAGCTACACTGAGCTACAGGAGAGTGCTTACACACAGTGAGGCTGGAAGATGCGGCTTGATGCTAAACCTGTTTACATGAATCCGATGGCATCATTCTAGTCCCCATAATAAAGTTCATAATGAAACCATTAAAAACTAAGTTGCAAAGTATATTCAAAATTTAGCAGGCACACCTTGTGCAAGAAATCAGTTTTTGGTTAATAAGCTGAGACTGAAATATGTTTAAGGGAAGCTTTGAAATGACACAAAATGAAAAAAATTAGATTTTCTTCCCACCAAAAAGGCTAAAAATAGCAAGTTTCATGTTGAAAAATTTTTTTTTTGAGTTTTGTTAACTCAAGAAAATTGCAAATTTTCATTATCTCTGTTGGCATGGGAGAGTCAGAACACACTGTTGTTTAGAGATGCTTAAGAACACTTGACTCTTGTTCCGGTTCACCAAGGCACTTCGGAAATTTTAAGCACACTTTGAAGTCTCACTAATGTCTGAGTTTTAAAGTGATCATATGACTGGAAATATAACTAGAAGGTCATTCAATGCAGTCCCCTCTAATTGTAGGCAATCATATAAAAAACATAATATGCTCAAATTTGCTTTGCTGAAAGCAAATGGGTTTAAGTATGTGCTTACAGATAAGCATGTGCTTAAAGGCTGGGCACAATTAGAGCTTCGATTAAGTGCAGACAGACCAGCATTTTCATGAAGATTAGAGTGTTCCACTTCCCTCAAGTCTCTCCTCCATTTTCTTTGACAAGGACTACGGAAAGACAAACTAAAAACATAGATAAATTATTTTTAAATTTATTAAGTCTTGTGGATCAGTTTGCTTAGTACTGTTTGGGGCCTGAACTGGGCTGCTGAAGTCAATAGGAACTATGTCATTTACTTCCTTTCAATGAGTAAAGGATAAAGCTTCCGCCAAGACAAATGCATGGAGTTCATGACAAAATTATATGTGATCATTGCACATGGAGCATATTAAATATGTAATAGAATCTGGAGCAAGAGAGACTCCCTGATGGTTAGTTCCTTTGTCTTCCAGTCGCAAAGGACCTTCCTCATAACGTGAAAACAGGGAAAAACCCGACATGAAACACAGGGTGCAAAGCATTTATCAAATGAATTTCATCACAGCTCTCAGAGATAATAATTGCTTCCTATTTGGAAGATATATACAAAGTCACCAAATTTTTCAGCCACCTTGTCATAGGCACTCAAGTGGGAAGGTTTGTGTTGCTGTTTGAACCAAAGCCTCGGAACTAACCTCAAACAGTGTTTGAACCACAGCTTCACAGTCAGCTTCAGTTAAAGGAGATTTTGCTGTGATCCTTCCCTGGTCTCGCAGCGCTTTGCCCGTTGTTGCAGTACAACTGAGCCTGCTTGCTATGTGTTTGTCACATCATGATGTTGTTTGTTGTTTCAGCTCTGAACGAACCCACCATTGACTATGGTTTCCAAAGGTTACAGAAGGTTATCCCCCGGCACCCTGGTGACCCCGAACGCTTGCCAAAGGTCAGCACAAAGTTTATTGTTTTATTAAATATGGCAAAGCTGGCTACTGCATGTTTTTGTCTGAAAGTAAGCCCTTTTGAATTTTAACCTGATAATGAGAGTCTCTTTGTAAACGTAGAAGTCTGGGGTTGGTACCCAACCCCAATCAGCTGAGACCCAGGCATTGACCAAGGAAGCCCAATAGAGCAACTTTCATTGTCGGCTTTATGAGACTTCAGTGACTTCTTGAGTCGCAGTTGACTCAAACTGCTCCTGTCTCTCTTAAAAGCAAACCATTCTCAGTCTTCTGAAATACTTCACAAAGAATGTGGTTTTGGCCAGTGTTTTGGAACCTGAGTAGCTTATTCATAGAAGAATGATGTTTCTCTGTTTTGGTATTGCAGTAGTGCTTGCCATTATAATTTTGAGAATTTCACCATTGGTAAAAGCAAGTCATGCAGGTTTTCAGTGAATGTGTGCCTGCTACTGTGGCACCATGTGTTAGTTTAAACTAATAATAATATGCTGCTTTATTTCAGGATCTGTGAAATAATTAGAGCAATGTATAATGAAGTGTCCTGGTGTTCATTCCCAACAAAATTAATTGGAAATTTCTTGTTGATTTCTGTCAGGTAAAAGCTGGGAAGAACCAGAGTAGTTTGTGTGGTTTCTAGGTCCTTCTGTCTGGTATTATGAACACCCTGCTGGGGTCTGCACTCATGTCTGTTCTTGCTGTCTTGCCACACTGTACTTCCACAGCCTTTAGCTCTGGCAAGAATGTGCAGTGAGTTTTGGGACATGCTGGAGAAAGTAGGGGTAAATTTGAAAAAGCATCGCTCTTTGCCACAGATCCAAAAACAGTGAGAGTCAGCGTGCGTGGGCTGGAGTGACTGTATTGACCAGCTGCTACCGTGTGTTGTGTGTGGTCTGTTATCATGGCTGTTAGTGACTGAATTGTGCAGACAGGTAGGCCAGGAGTGTGCAATTGAAAAACACCATCATTGACTTATGCAAAGGTACATGGTATTTGCAAGGGTCTTGAGCACAGGGTGCATTTATCTAGCGCAAGTATTAGTAGCCTGAGCACTGAGCCATATGAATTTGCAGAGCTGACACATGGAGCAAATTGGGTGTTAGCTGACGCCTCAGGCCAGGTCCCTAAAACAGTGCACATTTAGTATAGCCTTTATGAGTGGCGTAAATCTCATGACCTTTCTTCCATAGTTTCCTGAGTCCTGAAGTGGGCATTCATTGGGGATAGTTCTAGACATTGATTAGTTAATGTTTCTGAAATGTTTCAAAGGTGAGAAGAGTTTATGAGGTTCATAACTTACTTTGTTTCATTTCTTGACAGAAATGAAATTCAGTATGTGATTTTTAACAGGCTTGTTATATCTGTTATCTTTGCTTAGGAAGGCTTTAGGCTGTGGTTTTGGGTTGGAGATGTGTTGTCCTTCTCACCTCCAGAGAAACATGCTGTCCTGGAGGGTTACGTTTTACTTTGGTTCTGTTCATCCTCTACAAGCTGTCCCTTTCTCTAACTTTCGGACAGATTTGCAGTAGGATTTTGTAACAGCTTTCATAAGTTATCACATTTCTCTCCAGAGGTGCAAGCCTTTCCAAAGAAAGAGAGCATCCTCTCTAGGGGCTTTTTCACTTGTATTGTGCCACTGCAACCAAGGATGTACACAGAGAGTTGTTTCTTAGAAAATAACAAAGCAGCGTTCTTTATGCACCTGGCATTTGCAAGGCCAAAAGAAGGGCTGCAAGGTTTCCCTGGACGTGATGCTCCAGCAGATGAGTAGATGGCCATGGCTTCTGTTTCTAAATGAGAGGCTGCAAGTAAAATATCACTGAGAAGTTCTAGGTCAGGTTATGCAGTGGAGATGTAATCACAGATTTCCATAGGTATCAGGCTCCCTTTCTGACACCCCTGTCATCAAGGGGCTCCCCAGCAATGATCATTCATGCTGGTACGGGAATGTAGCTATGTGACTGAGCAGCTTCTCCCGTTAAGACCGAGACTGCTCCCACACAGCTAACCACATGCCCCTGCTATCCAGGGTCACAGAACATAAAAACAGGCAGAACAAGGCTCCAGCTAATGTCATAACCTGACTCCAACATGTAGTAGGTTTTTATGGATAGGGTATGAGAAAGAGGGTTAGTACAGAGTGATCGCTCCTCTCATTTACCCTTAATGTGTTTGTTTCGAGTATATTTTCAAGATGAATTTTCAAGTCTTTGAATAAAGGGAAGTTGTTTTTATGCACGTAGGGGTATGATCTTGACCAGTGTAAATCTGATGGCCAAAAGGAAAAAGTTACTATTTGAAGGACGGAACAAATTAAGGGGGGAAAGTAGCATCTCTGTGTAAGGCTAGAGGGGAAAAAGGACGAAGAGGACCTATTTTGGGGGCTGGGATATTTCCTTATGCGCAAGCTTGAAGGTTGGACCTCAAGTTCAAGACTCATTAATATGCCATGCACAGAGGCTGAGTGCAGCAGGGGTTGGCACATGTCGACTTCTGCGTTTGAGGCACTGATGGTTCAATTCCCAGCATCGCTTGCTGGTTCCAGAATCGTTATCAAGGACGCAGCGAGTGTCTGTGCTGGGTGAACACTGCACAGCGCTCTTCCCCATGTCATTAAACCAGAAAGGGCTTTGGCAGTATTCCACTATAGACAATTCTCAGTGGCTACTTAAATGAGAGTTGGAAGCCATATGGCTTCCACAGTGGAACCACGGGCAGAGAGGGCAAATGTATGAAAGGCAGTGGCATGGAGAGCAGCGCTCAGAGCTTTCAGTATTTTTTTTCCTCTATATCCGCATTGTCCTGCCAGTGCATCATCACTTTCCGTTCATTAAAAACCTTGTACTTATTCATTAAATAAGGAAAGCAAAATACATCTCTAAAATACATTTCTATAATTGCTGCTAGGGTGTGTGGCCATTATGCCATTGAAACATTACTGATGAATTAGAGATCTTTTAAGAAATTGAAATGGTTATAATGCTTCTGTTCGTTAGGGCATGCAGTCCTTCCCATGGACTAGCAAGCGGATTCTGCTCTGTGCCTTATCCGTGAAGTCCAGAAGAATTGTTGAGACCGTCAGGGGACTGTGAGCACATGCTTTACCCTCCAGAGCCCTGGAGCTGGAAGATAACGGCCATATCTGTGTCAATAGTCATTTCAAAAACCACGGAGATTGTTTAAAAATAAGTTTGATCTCCACTGTTTAGAACTGGCATTTTTAAAAGTGCTCAGTGCCCATGCTCGGGCTGGATTTTTGAAATATTTCAAGCATCTGTTACAAGCATGCAAAAATAAAAGATGAATTTTGAAAATTTTTCTGTCTCTCCCAGTGCATCAGTGGCAGAATTCCAGTGGGGAGTTCCTTCCCATGTGGAGAAGAGCAGGAGCACCTAGGAACTAGGGTCTTTGAAAAGCTAGACTGACAGGTGAAAAGTAGAGTCGTGTTTAAGGCAGAAATACTAGATAGCATTTCTGGAGAAAAGGGAGTGGGAGCTCGTGTTGGCAGCTGGGCAACGGAGTCAGCTATGGACTAGATTTCTCTTCTGTTCATGTACAGGGGAGATCAGGGAAAACAGCCAGTTTAGAGTTGTCACTAGCAGATGTGCATGTCCACGCACACACACATGCGCGCAGGCACACACCAAGAGGAGTGATGGGCAGCACAGAGGTGATGGGATTAGCACCCAATGCCTGGAGTGAGATCAGGTACCAAGAGTGTGTTGGGCAATATAGTCTTTCCTTTCTACTACAGAAAGGAAGTAGATCATAGGAAATGAGATCTCTGGGTGAAAGTGAAAAGAAATACCCCGATCCTAATGTTAAGAAATTGTATCAGTGTCTTGAAAGCGCAGGCTACAGAAAGCCTGTCTGTGGGGTTGGGAATTGAGCCTGCACATGTATGTGCAATTTCCCTTTGTCTCATGTGTTTGTATATGGGCACACACATTCCCGCGTGCTGTTGGTTCCTGCATACATAAGTGCAATGGAAATCACTAAAAAGTCCACATCACAGCAACACGTTGAACCTGTTGAGGTTCATTTATATAAGCATCTTACCATCCTTAAAATAAATCCCTGGCAGCTAAGTTGTGATTCTGCAATTTGGTTAAAACTCCACAGCTATAGCTGTAAAACAGTTTCAACTGTGAGCTAGATTTGAAACACATCCACCCTAAATGATTTAATAACAGCAGTTCCTCTTTATATGCAATTTCCTAGAATTTATTTGCCATTTTCACCACTCTTACAACTCATCACTTGTATTTAAATTAAGAGCATGATTGTTCACTCTGTGCTTGAGAAGCAAGTCATTGCATCAACCCCTTCTGTGATCTGAGGTCCTCTCCCTTCCAGTCTGCTGCTTAAATGTTCTCTCTAGGAGACACCCCAATCCCTCATGAAAGGGATTTTCCTTCTGGTTTCTCCTCGTGTAGATGGAAGTGAAGCCTCTCTCCCTAGCACACAGGAGCTCCCTGCTGAGGAGCCAACACATGTAAAGCCAGGCTCCACCTTCCCTGCATCTCCTTCTCTCAGGTCAGTCATTAGACCCCAGGACATATCCTAACTCCTGATTAGGACACTAATAGAAGACAGGTGGGTATTAGGAGCCAGTGGCTGGCAAAAGCGGTTGTCTTTTCCCATATGAAATCCTACAGATTTGCCCTTTTATCCATCGTGACATGGGAAATGTTTATATTGCAAAGAAAGGTTGTCTGTAAACGTGGGTGGGTTGGCCCAGGCTTGCTAGCTGGGGTTAAAATAGCAATAGAGACAAGGCAACTCAGGTCTGCAGCTTCAGCTAGACCCTATGGAAATTCTGGAATGGATCTCCATCTGCTAACCCAAGATACTTTGTTTTCATGCTGTTTTAACCCAAGTTAGTCAACGTGAGCTAAGGAAACACATCTTTGTTTTTCCCACCCAGTGGAGCAAGGGACTTGTTAGAAAACTCTTTGTACTAAAAGCAGGCAGGAAGGGGGAGGGC